GTGTGTGTGTGTGTGTGTGTGCGTGTGTGCGTGTGTGTGTGTGTGTGTGTGCGTGTGTGTGCGCGTGTGTGTGTGCGTGCGTGCGTGCGTGCGTGCGTGCGTGCGTGCGTGCGTGCGTGCGTGTGTGTGTGTGTGTGTGTGTGTGTGTGTAACAGCGTCATCTTATTTTTTAAGAATTACGCATTGTCGTCCTAAACAATTGCAAAAATAAATAGTTTACAATTACATAAAATATTTTCTATACGCCGGTATTAATATATCATCGTAACAATTTTGAATTTTACTTAGGCTCTTCGTAATGACAACGCTATTACAGATAAGTATCGTGTTATATATATATATATATTATATACATATATATATATTATACAAGGTGTCCGACTCGTAGCATACTAGAGTTAATATATAGCTAGAATAGATCAGGGTATATGATGGGATCAGTGTCTTTTTTTAAACAACCACGTAAAATTTCGAGTTATTAAACAAAATAGATGGGCTAATCAGAGCTAGCGACGCGGCAGGCGGGACATACGGCTCGCCATGGCCGGTGAAAAAATAAATGATTGCTTGCGGCTTTATCTCATAGGCCTAGAGGTGGGGACTAGATCTGACACTGCGTTATAGGCCCGCGAGCAATATATTGATGATCTATTCTAGCTATATATTAGCTCTGGTATGGCACGAATCAGACACCCTGTATATATATTTTACATATATATGTCTATATATAGGGTATCCCGAACATCTATGATGACCCTTGGTGAGAGCGTAGAACGGATTGAGGTGAGCAAGAAATTCTGTGCCGTTTTGTGATATTTGCAATAGTTTTTGATAAATTAATTATTTTGTATATTTATTTTCCTAACAAATCAGCGTACAGAAAACGGCAGCGGAAAGAAAGATGCCTTCGGCCGACGTGCGGCCGTGACACTCGCGAACTTAGAACATATATATATGGAGGGGGAATTGCATATACCTTCTGTAGACCAAAAGTGTGTCCAAAATATGTGCGAGAGAGAAAGGTATACATTTCTACTCATTCTCTGTGTGTATGCGCCAATATGCATTAGTTGTTGCTGGGCTACAAAATAATTGGTTTCAATATTTTTTTACTTGAATTCTATCAATTTTACCGAAAAATAGCAAGATATAAAAATTGTTTATTTTCTTCTCATAGAGCTCGGAGAATTTTTTCAGAATTTTGTATTAATTTTTTAGTACTTCATTTTCTTGCGTTTTCTTGCATTTTCTTGAAGTACTACAAAATTAATACAAAATTCTGAAAAAATTCTTAGAGCTCTATGAGAAGAAAATAAATAATTTATATCTCCTGTCAACTTTATAACTTAACCTAACCTGTTAACTTCAACGCATGTGCACAAAGAATGAATAGGAATGTATAGCTTTCTTTCTCGCACACATTTTGGACACACTTTCGTGCCAGCATTCCCCCTCCATGTATATATGCTCTAAGCTTGCGAATCGCATCTCGTCGCTTCCCTCCGCCCATAGCTACGAGACATAGCGAGGCGTGATACACTAACACATGTGTATGACATATCCGTGTGCCGAATCGACGCCGAATCGAAGCGTGTCGCCGCTTCGGCTACATACATGTATGTATGTGACACAGCGAGCGGTGTGTAATACAAAATCGTGTGCTCAAAGGTAATTATCTTTCTTTTTTTTCGACGTCGTGGTAGAAAAATGACAGCGCGCATTTAGAAGATTATTTTATAAGACAGTTTAAGGTCACGTTAAAACTGTAATATGTTTCTGTGATAAAAAAAAAAAAAAAAATAGAAAGAAAGAAAGCGATAGAAATTGAAAGGATTTGCAGAGAATCTAACTGTTCTTTATCGTAATGGTTTCTCTATCATACCCTTTGCATGTATCGAATCTGCAAGAAATGAAATCATTTTCTATCGTACTTTATTAGAAGAGTATTAAATCGTTACTATGATAGAACTCTTAGAGACTTGTCGTGTCCTATCATTTTGTTGGAATTTATCATGAAAAAATCACTGGAAGTCTGTCATAATTTGTAGTGTATTAACAATGGGAGAAACTCAAAGTTCCTTCCCATGTAGAAATATCATACTAAGAATCATTGATTAATTACTTATTTTCAGTATTAAAAGTACAGTATTTAGTAATATTCTGTGATTCAAATACAGCTTTTAGTACTCAAGTATTTTAATATTTAATGTTACAAATCCTACCTTATCATTGATTTCAATACTTAACCTTTAGAGGACGGGGGTTTTTCGGTTCAACATGACTTTTTGTTTTCACAAAAATGTATGTCTAAAAACATCGGATCACTAATTTTAGACACCCCAAGTGACAGGTGGTCCATATATGGACCACCCCCGTCTGGAACATTACGGGCAATATAAAAAAATTTTTTTTTCATATTTTAGCTTCAAAGTTGGTATAACCACGTTTTTTGATGCTCTGAATACAAATAAAGTAATAAAAAAAATCCTTCAGTTTTCGCTCTTAGCTTGACCCAGGACCAACGACGTGGACATGGCGAAAATATAATCCCTTTGGGGTGCTTGATTCACGTGAGTCCCCGTGCCTCTCACGTTGGGGTGCTTGATTTACGTGAGTCCCCGTGCCTCTCACGTTGGGGTGCTTGATTCACGTGAGTCCCTGTGCCTCTCACGTAGGGGTGCTTGATTCACGTGAGTCCCCGTGCCTCTCACGTTGG